GGCAGGACTGAGGGACACCTGCAGGATTTACAAGGATACCACAGTCTCCAAGTTAAGTCCCAGAGGAACCCCAGTTAAGAGGCTTTAAACTCCTAGAAGCCTCTGTTCTAGAAGGCTAGAAGCGACAGACTCCAACTGGAGTGCTCATGTTGACGCCCAAAATAGAAGCATGGTACATTTTCGGGTTAGACCACATCAGATGTTCACAGTGCTCTGTGAAATACCAAGCCAGAGGTATTTTAAAGAAGGTGAACCTGATCTGGAAAACACCACTGACCAGGCTCTACAGGTAAACTCGGCCCTCAACCACGGCAAGAGCGTGGTTCCCACAGAGCTCCGATTCGACCCTGACCAGACGGCAACTCTTCTCCCCCTCAAGAGTCAATAGGTGAGCTGTCCCCGTCTTGCAGGTCCTTTATGTGCAAAGATAGGTATGGGACAGGGAGGTCCGAAGCTAGCAAAACTCGGGGCCTGAAGCAGGGTAAGAACACAACATTCTGTGCTCTTCTGTCACCCGCCCGCCTCACTGGTTCTCCTGGAATGCAAGGGCCCGGCTCCCAATCTTGGTTGGCCCCCACATACAAAGCACTTTCTTCTTTGGCCTCCCACCGGCCCTGAGAAGCAGGTACCACGAAGCCCTAGTTTTCCAGGGGAGGCAGAGACTCAGACAAACACTAACAAGGCAGAGCCAATAGTCACCGCAGTGAGTCTGGAACCTGGTCACCTGACAGGAAATGGCCTTTTCATCATTCTACACTACACTGTTGGTGAAGTAAAGCAAAACCAAAAAGAAAAACGAAAAAGAAACAGCATGCATTTCAACTGACGTTGCTTTCTCTCTCTCTCTCTCTCTCTCTTTTTTCGCCATGGAAATTTTACTTGGTAACTGAAGCTTGGAGATAGCTATTTGAAAATGAAATTGAGTTTGGATTGAAGGAAACAAAAATAAAGAGACCAGACAGAACAGAGTCATGAGTAGTAACATGTAAAAAACAAAAGGATAAATGAAGGGTTGGGCAGGGGAGGAGGTCTGCCCCAAATGTTTACCCAGCACCCTCACCTTTGTCCTGAAACATCCCATCTCCACACCCGGCTCCTGGTTAATGAACATAATTTGGTTGATGTCCCTTGAACTGTATAATCTTTTCTACAAAAAACAAACCCGCAGTTTGTCTCCAAGCCACTTTTAAGTCCCTAACGCCCTGGTTACATTCAGTCTATGGAAAACATCTGTGGCAAAGTAAATCATCCTACCCTGAGAAAGACCAGAGTGTGTTTTTTTTTGTCCCCCCTCTAAGTGTGTTTTGAAGTCCTGGTTGGAAAATTAGTGAAAATTGTAAATCTGTTTGCAAATCTGGTCATGTCTAACTCTGAGATTAGGGCAAAGATTCCAATTTAAAAGTAAACCGTGACAACCCCAGTTAAGCGTGTCCTCAGGCACTGCCAGCAGGGCCTTCACTCACTTCCACAGGCGGTGGATTTATTACAGGCACCCGACACGTTCCCCATCAGACACCCCTGGAGTATTTGCTTGAGACAGCAGGGTTCAGTCTGCACTTCCTCTGCAGACCAATATATTATTATAAATTGAGCTAAACTGTTTCCTTTTCATAAGTGCTATGAAGTTCAGATTTCAGATATCGGCACAGGGCTGAGGTCCCTCGGCAGGGCTCTGTATAGGATTTGGATTTTAAAAAGTGAAGAGAAAAGGTAGCAAGAGGCCGTGGCTGCTTTTAGTTTTGTTTTATGCTGCTTAAGATGCGGCGGGGGAACGTTCATTTGTAGAAAATTCTGAACATGCGTTCTTAATCAAGACAATAAGAATTTGCCTGAGTAATAATAAATAATAAGGAATAAGTGGATTCTACATGAATACAATCTAACGGTGCGCTTTGGGTACGTTGTGCTGTGGCTGGCCCAGGTCCATAGGGTACCAGCTACTTCGCCTAGAGCTAAAGGCAGGAGTCAGGAAATCAGGAATAGATACTATGTCTTGGGCATCAGCTCCTATAAAATAATAACACGTGGGGCGCCTGGGTGGCTCAGTCGGTTGAGCGTCCCACTTCGGCTCAGGTCATGATCTCGCGGTCCGTGAGTTCGAGCACCACGTCGGGCTCTGCGCTGACAGCCTGGAGCCTGCTTCGGATTCTGTGTCTCCCTCTCTCTGACCCTCCCCCGTTCATGCTCTGTCTCTCTCTGTCTCAAAAATAAATAAACATTAAAAAAATTTTTTTAAATAAAAATAAACAAATAAAATAATAACACTTCTGTTTATCACCTACAATAGCTAAAGGGACAAATGTATATTTGAAATGTATATTCATTACAACATATAGGTAAAGGGGGCAATGTAATTACTTAATATTTTCATTATAATCTATTTCCGGGCAAGAGAAACAGAACTTTACAAAGAAAAGGAAAAGGAGGAAGCACCCAGAACACCCTTGTCATCATCTTCTCTTTCCTTCCTGACCAATCTAGTCCTAAAGCCTTTAGGTGAAGCATAGGCGTTGTGATGAGGGAGCAAGAGGGGGGCCCAGGAGCCCAGAGCAGGGGTCAGTGAGGAGGGAGAGGAGGGCGGGCTTCATGTGGGTGTCAGAGCCCAAATGGGATAAAAGGACAAGTTATAATCCACGCGCCCTACTAACTGTGTAACCACGGCTATGTCACTACATCAATTTAACCTGAATCATTTCTTGTCCTATATAACTAACATCTACTTTTTAGGGCTATGGAGACAGTTAAAAGAATGCTTGACCTGTCATTAATCCCCACTAAATGTGGCTGTCATTCCCATACTACTATTTTTCCAGATGCATGTATGTATAGAAAAAAGACTGAAAAGGAATATACGAAAACAGCAATGAACCTGGTTTTTATATTCTTCTATCGCTCATACCTTTGAGTGTTTCTTTTCTCTACAACGAACATGTACTTTACTTTCATAATCAGAAAAGAACACACAAGATTGTTCTTAAATACATGGAAGCTAGCCGAACTTTTAAAATGTATCTTTACCATTTCTAAATGCAGAAAATTAATATGGCAATTTAAAACGGCCCCAACTGACTCTCACTTCCTTTAAAGATACAAACTGCAAATAGAAACTCGTGAACAAAGCATCCAGAGGAAAGTGGTTTATTGGCTGAAATTAAAACCCATGTATACTCGAGGTAAATACCCATGTGTGGGTTGTACATTAAAAATGAGGAACAATCTGTTACCTACAAATGATGCTTGTTGATGGGGCAGAGACTTCAAACTAGAAACTCAGTTCCTGAGGCAAGCAGGGGAGGCTCTCTCAGTAAGAGCTGACCTTCAGCCTAAAAATGTGCCCACGTAGAGATTTCAGTGTATTGGGATTGAGACTAAATAGTCCCTTTTAGAGCAGGAAGAGCACCGTATATGCAACCTGCAAACTATCCTGGTACCTTTTATCAACCCAGCGACGTTAGGCCAATACTTAAGAAAAGAACAATCTCTATACGATCTCCCTCACAAACTTGTTTGGAGAGTGATTGAGACTCTTAAGTGAAACTGATTTGTAAATTATAAAGCAACATGCAAATGGCAGGGAAGAGATTTAGGGCTTACTTCGATCAGTGTTGGGCAAATGTGGGAATCACCCCATGAGAAGAGGTGAAGGGACACAGCATTAAGCACCAGCAAATCACGCACCACGGGAAAGTCATTCTCTACATAACGACCTTCCCATCTTGCTGCTGACAAGGAGAAAGTCCCAGATTGGTACCATTGTAGAGTTAACACGTTTCTAACAGTTACACGTGTCCCTTTTCCATAAAGACAGAACAGGACTCAGATTCAGGATCTGCAGCAACCAAAGGCAGCAGGCACTTAATACTGTTTCACTTTCCATATTTATAAACCTCTTCTAATTACGCCAAGTGATACTGGTCTTCCACTTAAGATAGTGATAGAGAATCTCCTTCTAAAATGAACCCATCTCAGTGAAACAAAGAAAGTGAGCCTATTGAGAGAAAAATATTACATAAGTAACAGTACAGGTAACACAGGGATATTGCCTGAAATTTGGAGAATGCTTAATGAGGTAATGCCCTAAAGAGCTAATCCAAACTCTGAATTTCCAGAAGGCAAGGACCAAGTTTTACCTATTTCCAGCATCTCCTCCAGAACCTTACATAGCATGGAGGACATCACGGGCCCTCTATAAATACTCAATTGATTGAGAAGCAACTCTTATCATAAATACCGGCTTTGAGCCTTGGGGCTCCCCAGCTCTAAAGTCAATACATGAGTAGATTCCCCCAGGCAGGTAAGAGTGAGATAAACCTTGGATAATCAGGAGCTAAAGCCAGTGACAGAATAAACCCAGGGAAGCTTTGTGAGTATAGAAGGATACAGTTTACATGCAATGCATTGGAAGACAAGCAGAAAATCCAAAAAAAAAAAACCAAAGAACCGAGAGCAAAAGCTGCTCAAATCCTGCAGCTTCTCCGGTTAGCCTAAGCCTGAGATGCTGCCCCCCCCAAAGAACTCAAAGACAAGTGCACAGAAAGGCCACGTTGTCAGGTTAGCTCCTCCTGAGAAGAAACTAAATTCAGAACTAGAAAAAAAACTTTCACTAAGAACTTATACAGACAGGGAAATCATTTTAAGTAGCCTCCACTCCCAGTGTGGAGAGGGAAATCATTTGAATACTTCACACTGATAAGTTGATTTGGATGACGGAGTAACTCAGGGAAAGTCCTGAAAACTGTTTTAGCACATTTGGGAAACTCCAAAAACAATCAGAATGGGAGGAGGGAAAAACAAAAAAAAGCAGCTTTTAAAAATGAACGATAGCTAAAAAAGAATAAGGAAATGAAAACAAACAGAAAAAAACTAGTTATATGTAGAAGATTCATTATCAGTATAAAATACCTGAAAAGCTTATTCCAAAAGACACATTCAAAATAGGTAGCCAACAGTCTAACATTTAGACACCAGAGCATCAATATAGTTTTGACCCTCCTAATTACCAAGCATAAAATAGCAGTCTCCTTGGTGAAGGGGTATTGCCAGACCGGGTGTCTCTATGTCCCACGAGATCTTAAAACCAACATGCCAAGTATCAGGATCTCTGCCTTCAAGCTGGGGATCATCCTCACTCTCCTCTTCAGGGCCTGTCAAAAAGAGAAGAGAGGGATCAGGAAGGAAATGTTTCATCTCAACTTCTGGGCTTTATAAACGTGATCTCAGGAATAATTAAGTTTTAATAAAATATGCATAGTAAGTGAACTATATCCTCCTTTTACGTCTCTTAAAAAAACATTCTTTAGAATATCTTTAACATGTCCTTTATTTTTTTACTCAGAAAATATCTTTAAATGATAAGGGAATAACCCCAGATACCAAGGAGAATAAAAGACTATTTTATTAATTCCATGCAAATAAATTAGACAATGTGGATTAAATGGATAGATTTTAAGGAAGTTATTAACTACCAAAATCGACCCCAGAAGGGGTCAAAAAGTTAACAAAACCTAAAAGGTATAAAGTCAGAGAACTATCTCTTAGGAAAACATATGTGTCAAGAATTTCAAAGAATTCTACCAAACAAGTAAGGAATGGGTTATTTCAATATACTTTAAATTGTTTAAGAGCATAGAAAAAGAAAAGTTTCTGAATTCTTTTCGTGAAGATAGGATAATATGTATCAAAACCCAAAAAGAAAACACATACACACACATACATACACACACAGATCTCACATCTGAGAACCAATGCACAACTCCTAAATATAGGGAAATAGAATTAACTCTAGCAGCATATTAAAAGAATAACATTCCATGACCAAATTGAACTTATCACAGGAATACAAGGATAGCTCAATATGCAAAGTGTTATACTTAAAATTTATCATATTCATAGGTGAAAACAAAGAGTCACCAGATACACACAAAGTATTCAATAAAACACATCCTTTCAAAACCAAAATATCAATAAAATAATGAGTGGCCAGTTCCTTAACACGATAAATACAGACCTCTCTCAATCAAAGCCAGCATCATATATTAATAGGGAAACATTAAAAATATTCCCAAAGTTAAGAATTAGGAAACAATGTCCTTTATCAGCACAACTCATCACTATTTTGGAAGGAATGGCCAACACAAGGGTGCTCTCTGGAGTTGCCTAACAGAGGAGCCCTAATTAGACCAAAAGAAAACAAAGAAGTAAAAGATTTTTTTAGAAGAAAAAGTGCATTTTTACAAATAATGTTATTATTTGTGTGCAAATCAACCAGGAAACATATATCCCAAGTGATAGTCAAATTAAGAAAAACGCTAGTTACAAATGTGTGCATATTAAAACATCCAGCAAGATTCTTAAATGTGTATACTGTCTATAAGAAAAAAAAAAACTTTAAAATATTATTGAAGGACACAAAAGAAAATTTAAGCAAATGTAAAGATGTTATTATGTTCTGGGGAAATAAAACTGAACACCATGGGAATGTCCGTTCTCCCTAAATTCATCTATAACACAAACCTAATAGAAATACCAACAGGACTGATTTTTAGTTAAGTGGCGCTGGTAACTAGACAAGCTGATTCGACAAATCACATGGAAATATAAACAAGCAAGCATAGCCAGGGAATTTTTTTAATGCATAAAGAGCTCCTGCACATCAATAAGATAAAGATCAATAATCAAACAGAAAAACAGACCAAAGTTATGGTGACAGAACACGTAAAAAAAAGTAAGTGTGTAAACATTTAAGAGATGTACAAACTTACTCATATAAGAGAAATGCAAATTAAAGCCACAACAGATATTTGGTAACTTAATCAGATCAGAAAAGATCAAACACTTTGATAAAATATGGTATCAGTAAGAGTATAGCCAAATGGCATATTCACACTCTCTGTAGAGAAAAATCTGGCAATCCTTATCAAAATTACAAATGCTTCAACACTTTGAACTTCTAGGAATTCCGCAACTCCACTTTCAGAAATGTATCCTCAAATTCCTACCTGCAAAGGCTGCAAAATGACTTTAGAGCAAGGATGCACACTGTCCTACCATTTAGAAGATCAGAAATAACCCAAATATCCATCAATAAGTTTCTGGTTAAATGAATTATGAAATGTCCAGGCAATAAAATATTCTGTAGCCACTAAAAGTAAAATGACTATGCACTGACACAGAACTATGTGATATATTTTTAAGGGAAAGAAACTGACAGGCCACAGTTTGTGTAAAATACAAACACATACACACACGTGTGTATACATGTACAGGTAATATTTCTAGAAGGATACTCAAGATTTATTTTTACATGTGGCTGGGAAAACTACGTGGCTGGGGTCCAGGAGGGGAGAAACACATAAACGAAGTGAAAGGCAAGGAATATAATCTGCCTACATGAACAGTCCTGCAGGGATGGCCCTATGTAAAAATGTATAAAAGTTCATTTAAGAAATATTTATTGAGCACTTATTATACATGAGGCACTGACCCGGGCACTTGAGATCTATCAACGAATGAATCAAAGAGCTTTGCCCTAGTGGAGCTTTCTTTCCAGTGAAGTTGTAAATGTTCAAAGGACATTTTAAATTCCATTAGACACCAGTCTCTGGTCTTCAAGGGGGAGGGTCCAATTTCCTGTTTCATCTGCATTTAGAGCCTTACTAAGTAGCACATAGAAGGCATTCAGTGAATGGCTGTACTTAAGTGCTTACTTACAAAACAAAATGCAGGGGCCCCTGTGTGGCTCAGCAGGTTGAGCTTCTGCCTTCGGCTCAGGTCATGATCTCGCAGTTCATGGGTTCGAGCCCCACATCAGGGTCTGTGCTCACCACTCAGAGCCCGGAGCCTGTTTCAGATCCTGTGTCTCCCTCTCTGTCTGCCCCTCCCCCACTCGCGCTCTGTCTCTCTCAGTGTGTCAAAAGTAAATAAACATTAAAACAAGTTTTTTAAAAAATGCTCTTTCAGTTCATGCCATTCACAATCCTTACTGGACTAGATGGCAGGGAAAAAATGTTAATTCCGGGGTGGGGGGAGTAGGAAACACTACGAATTAAACCAAATAACATAATAAAGTGTGGCGCTGCTAAGTTAGTACTGTTCTTAACAGTGAAGAAATTGAGAGAAGAGACGGGCTCGGTGAGGGTTAGAATGGGTAGAGCAGAATTCTTGGAGAAGATCAAATGTGAAAGTACAGTCTCTCAGCGGGTAGAGGAGGAAACGATGCAGGAAGACAAAAAGATGCAAAGTTTCATGTGGTCCCAATGGGCAATAAAGCGGGTTTCACGCAGGCTGCATCAGGTGCGTGTCACATCCAGAGCCCAAAAGTACATGCATCCCAGAGGGCACGGACCCATCCACAGAAATTCCTCGTTCTGAACACCCCACTCTGCGGTAACTGTGCACAAGGGTCAAAGGCCGTGAAAGAAGGGGGAAGGGGGAAGAAATCCCCTTTATACTTATTAATTCACATTACTCTGCGGAATGGTGGGGAAAGAAACCGGACCAGAAATCCAACTTCAAGGAAGGAATGCGACTAAATGACCTCCAAGGGCCCATCCAGCTCTAGATATTCTTCAATTCCTTAAGTTTGAATCTCAAATCTGATACGCCATAAGAACAGAATCTTATCTTGTTTTCCTATTTGTTATTTCTGATAAATGTCTTCTCAAGCATTCTGTGGTTAGGAGCAACTCTAAGCTAGTTTTCTTCACGAATAAAGTCATATAGTAAAAAGTCTAAAGCCATTTTTCTAGGGTAATCCCAAAACCATTTAAAAGAGAACCCTCTAGAACAGGAATGACAAATATCTTACATATCAGAGGACACAACTAATTCATCGGTTGTGGCTTTTGTGACCCCTGGTACAGAATTATTCTGAATTTCTGTCCAAGCTCAGCAGAAAGAGTGGTATAATCAATTACTGATGTCTGTCACTGGCACTAGAAGGGGTCGTTAGCAGCAGCAGAGACAGATCATTTGCTATACACGTCTGATGGCGCTCTCTAGGCATGTCTTATTTATACATAATAGTTACACCTGAAAATTCTAGAATTTGCTAGAAAACTAGAGCTCATGGACCAGAAGAGAGCCCACGAAAGGCGTACAACTTGACCTGCACGACATCTTCTTAACCAAACCAAGTTAGCAGGAGCCTGGGTGGCTCAGCTGGTTAAGTGTCTGACTTGGGCTCACAGTTCGTGGGTTCGAGCTCCACTTCGGGATCTGTGCTGACACCTCAGGGCCTGGAGCCTGCTTCAGATTCTGTCTCCTTCTCTCTCTGCCCCCTCCCCCACTCATGCTCTGTTTCTCTCTCAAAAATAAATAATGAACATCACAAAAATTGTAAACAAAACTAAGTTAGCTGCCAACTGATACAGGTGCTTTGCATAAAAATACGAATGTCCAGCTATTGTTGAATTACAAGATCTGGTATCACTGAGGCAGTCACAGGCGAAGAAGTAACTGCCCCTTTGAGACAAGGCATGTCCTCTGGGCTAGTGGCAGTCCCCGTCAGCCATTTCACCCATTTGCAGTAGCTGCCTGGCCCCTACAGCCATTTACAAGTCTCTGAACTTTGTTCTAGCCCACAGGCAAACCAGGCCCATCACCTGCTTAAAGTAACTGGAACACAGTCACAGCCCATTCATTCACACAGCAGTCCGAGGCTGCTTTCACCTAAAACAGCAAGGCTGAGTAGCAAAGACACAGAGCATAAGGCCCATGAAGCCGAAAATATTCATCATCTGGCCAGCCCCGTATTCAGAAATGTTTGACAACCCCTGCTCTGGAGTCTTGATATCTGTGATTTGATAGAGATGTCTACTGTGCACGTTAGTGAGGAAGCCAGGCTTTATAAAATAAGGATGATGTCACGTGATGAATACCAGCATACGACATAATAAAGTAATTAATGCTAAATTATTTGATAACCAGACCCATTTAGCAAAAGAATACTGATATGAGAAATCGTATGTTTATATTTGTGATACCCTAGGGCTTTCAGCGGCTTCGTTCTAGAGAGCCCTAATGATAACAGATGTAGCAAGCAGCACAAGGAGAAAGAATAGAAATATTCTATGAAGGCTTTTCATATGTCTCTCTCTCTCTCTCTGTCTCTCTCTCTCTCTCTCGTGAAATCCACTATGACTGA